TGACTGAGGAATTTTGGGTCTTCTGCCAGCATCCACAAAACAGGACCACTTGTAAGCAGGGTACAGTCCAAGGCCTTGCACAGATCCTGACAGTCCTATATTTGGATTTGGCTGATGGTGCTCTAGTGGAGTCATTTAACTTGTTCTCTGGTGGGGAGGTCATATTTCCAATTTACAAAGAAGAAACTGCAAAATCTTCTATATTCCCTAGGCGCCAGAAACAATTCTTAGTACCCTTGATTCTCCTTTTTTCACAACTCTGGATCCCAAAGGACTGTCAGCCAGCATTTTTGGTCCCAGTGACAAATCCAGCTCTAATGTAGATACTGTAGGGGAATAAGATACTCCAACAGTAAGATGGGCTATCACAGCCTTATGCCACTGTAGCTTTATGCCTTGGACTCACTTGGGCTGATTCCTTGTTCACCAGGCTACCTTCTAATTCCCATGTAGGTCTGAAGAGAGAATGGAGTATTTCTTTGAGTATTTCTGGTCCTTGTGACAGTGATTTCTCAGGCAAACCAGAAAAGTAACATTTGATTAAGAGCTGTCACATCATATGTGTAGAATTCAGGGAGAAAATGCACCAGTCATTCCTTCATCATCACCATCATCATCATTTTGGTTGCTTGTGGGCATAAATTCCTCCGTGTAAATTAACTTGGTAATATAGTGACTACAAAAGGGGGATGGGGAATATTCTGACCCACCTTGCCATCCAGAGCCTTACTTTTGAACTGTTCTGGTTGATTCAATTCTCATAAAGCCTTGCTTTATCTTTTTCTCAACTTCCAGGTTCTAAGCACTACTGTTCTCCCACTGTTGACTTTACTTGCCCTCTGACCTCATGCAAGGCCCATCTTATCAGCTGAGATCTTAGCTTCTGTTTCTCAACTTTTAGCTGTGTTATTTCAGGGTCCCTTGGGAAAGGCCCATCCTGTCCAGGCCCTTGGGCCACAAGGATGCTCCAGTGGCTGGTGCACACTGCACACCTAGAGCTGGGACCTGTCTGGGCAGCTTTTTGCACATAAAATTCCATGATTATAAAGATTTCCACCTAGTACATGTTGACAAATAAAGGATATTGGTTTTAAAGACTTTGTTTTAACCAAAGCACACAATAGAACAATGACTTATAAACCAATATCTAGTGAAAACTGAGAGTATATGGAATATTTTATTTTTATTGGTTGGTAATTATGCCTGAATGATTCACAAAATTATTACAACATTCTTGATTTTATGGTTCCCCCAGGAAATCCTTCCCTATTTTAAATAAAGTGCATTTTATCTATTGAATGCATTTGATACCTCTATCCTGTTATACAATTACAACATTGTAAATAAATATAAAGAGCTATGTGGTTTGACTACTTCAACTATATAGAATTAGCTCCCTAGGAAGAGCAGGGTTTTTATCCTTTTCCCTTTAGAATCAAAAGGCATCCGATGACAGCTCTTTGAAAGGATGATGCTGAGACGACTGAATCTTCTCAAGCCTTCATGTCTCTATTCTGTTGTGTTAATTTGGATAACTATGAACAGACTGAAATCTATGTCTCTGCTAGGGACCCCAAAGAGCTCACTGCATAGGACCTACCCCAGCTTGGCTTTATATTTTCTGCATTTTTCTTCTGTCGCTGCTCAGAAAAGCTATGGGGTTAAAAGAAAAAAGTGTGTGTTTGTGTATGTGTGAGAAACCATTTCAGTTACCATGTGTTTTAGTATTTAGCATTATTCAAATATATTCATCTAACATTAGGACTGCTCTAACTGGCACACAATTTTTATATATACTTATATACAGCCTCATAGCATACAGTTGAAGACTACTTAGCACCTCTGATGTGAAAGGCACTGGGCAATCTTTTTTTTTTTTTTTTTTGCGGTACGCGGGCCTGTGACTGCTGTGGCCTCTCCCGTTGCGGAGCACAGGCTCCGGACGCGCAGGCTCAGCGGCCATGGCTCACGGGCCCAGCTGCTCCGCAGCATGTGGGATCTTCCCGGACCGGGGTACGAACCCGTGTCCCCTGCATCGGCAGGTGGACTCTCAACCACTGCGCCACCAGGGAAGCCCGGCAATCTTAAATCTCTTGTGCAACAAAGTAGGGTATAAATCAACCAACTAACAAACTATACAGAGATACAATCTGGGCAATGCAATGAGAACTGTTCTAGTCCTAACCTTGCTAGAACATGGTAGATATTTTAGTTAAAGGCCAAACTCATACTTTAATAATTCATAAAGGATTATTGTATAAGGGATTATTACTAAAATAACAACTAGAGCTCTTTTTATAACTGCATGAAGGAGAATCTATGTTTACTATAAATATCTATCATTCATCATTTCTTACATAAATAGTATTTATCATTGTTTCTATAATAGATAAAGTACTATATGTTACCCATTCTTCAGGATTAACTATTTTATGTTAAAGCTACATGAGACAATGCTATTTTAACCTCTCTACAGGTTGTGTGAAATTCTAACATACCTGTGGAAATTCAACATTTTCATTTATCACCTGGCACACGACATTAGCCTAACACCTTCTCCTCTCCATCCTCATCCTCATTCCCACTGCCACCTCCTGTGAATTAGGACAGAGGAGAGAGATACTGTATAAATACAACAAAACTGGGTGAATCTTCCGGTCTGCTTTTATTACCACGCACCAGCTGACCCAGGTCCAGAGAGTGACATTTGTATATTTGTTGTACACACTTTCACTCAGTTTACTTCACAAAGCTTAATGCGCTCTGTTCAAATTTGCTACAGGTACATTCTTAACATTTCAGGCATGCATAAAAATAGATGTTTTGTTTCTGTTTTTTGCCAATTAAATCAAATAGGGAGGTGGCTTTTGTTTTTGGCAATAGGTCTCACATTTGCTGAGAATTAGGTGAGGATTTTTAGGGGTGGGAAGCCTGTGTATGGGCTTCCTGTGAAGCCATTAGCTGAAAACCTTTGGTTTAAACCACAGTGTCCAGGGCTGGCCTCTAGCAGGTCAGCGTGCCGCCACTGTCTCAGGGGCACACGGCCTCCCACCTGTCCTCACCCCCAGCACCTCTCCCACCCCTATTAGTGGCTATGCACTGAGAGCGGGGAAGAGGCTTTCACTTCTACATTATGCTCTCTGCACTGTCCGCGTTTTCACGTATTTACTCTGTGTGTGTGTGTGTGTGTGTGTGTGTGAGACAACACTGAAGTTCTACTTTCTTTGCCTGCTTTTTTACAAAGCCATGCATTTCTTACATTGAATTACAAATGTGAGGCGCTCACCCTGGTGCAGCCCGCCACCCACACTTGCCCCTTCCTCTCCGCCTCCCACCTCCTTCTCTCTCCCTTCTCACCTTTTGCTTTTTCTCTGCTCTCATGAGCTTCCACTTTTGTCCTTCTTCTTTTGCATAGATTTTTCCGAACTGCACTCTTTGCAGGAACCGTTTTAGAGATTCTTCCAAGGCCCTTATTTGTAATTACATCCACCTTTTGTTGCCATGATGGCTGTCCTTCAGGACTAGATTCCAAGACACTTGTCCAGAGTGACTCCTGAGTCGAGTGGCATATTTCTCTGCTTCTTATATTTTCCCCCCTCATATATTTTGACAAGAATTTTGAAAAATGTGTTCTTCCTCTTCCTTTAAGTCCTTTTTCCTCCTGGCTTGTAGGGCAGGTTTTGTTACCGGCAGAACTTTCTCTAAAGTGAAAGGAGACAGAGAGTTAACTAAAAGACACACTGAATTGCTGGGTGTGTCCAGAGTCTGATTAGGTTTGAGAAGAGGAACAGAAAGAATTTTTGTGTTTTAGAAATTGAGGAGGCCTCCTGGCCTAGCGTGAAAAACCCAAACAGATAAAAATTCTATTTTAAAAAATCCAGGACTTCTCTGGTGGCGCAGTGGTTGAGAGTCCGCCTGCCGATGCAGGGGACACGGGTTCGTGCCCCGGTCCAGGAGGATCCCACGTGCCGTGGAGCGCCTGGGTCCGTGAGCCATGGCCGCTCAGCCTGCGCGTCCGGAGCCTGTGCTCTGCAACGGGAGAGGCCACAACAGTGAGAGACCCGCATACCGCAAAAAAAAAAAAAAAAAAAAAAAAAAAAAATCCAACAAAGTCTAGTTGGGAAGTTAAGTTAGCATCTTGTTACTAAAAGCATCAGAGGTGTTGGTTATATATTTTTTAATGCACTTGTTACTTATTAATTTAATATCCAAATGCTTACATCTCCTCCTGGCCCTGTTCTTAACCTCTGTTCTTTCCCTGTTAAATCGTGACCTTTCCTTGCAGCCCCTCACTCTGAAGGGCGGCTTTCAGGACTACTCCCAGGTAGCCTGGGGCTTCAGGGGAGCACCGATTAGACTTGTCGCTCCCGTGCAGGCCGTAGTTTCTGCGCACAGACAAAATGCTGGGGTGAGTCATAGTTCTTTCCTAACAAAAGGGCATTGTACTGTGCTGTTTGGTTCAGGCTCTTCCGTGTCACTTGTAGTTGCAAACGTATGGGACAGGAGGCTTGTTCCAGAGACGCATCGCTCAAATTGTATTCTAGTGCGCTGCTTTGGGCGTGCCCCGATTGACCGTGAGATCCTTTAAGGCTGCGACGCTTTGATTTATCTTCGATCCCCAGCCCTAAATGCACTTGTGCCTAGCTCAGGGAGTGCTAAGCAAGTGTGGCTTGGTGGGAACCCTGCAGGAGAAGGGGAAGGGAGAAAGTTTGCTCTGTGCCCCAGGAGCAGGAGTGGCGCCCTTAGGAAGCCAGCTCACCTGCACATAGCCGGCAGGGGGCGCAATTGCATCAGTACTAGATAGAACGTGTTTCTTCGGCCCCACTTGTTAATTTAAGCCTTACCTGTTTGGTGAACCCAAAGGCCTGAGTCCCTAGAAATTTAAACTTAAACCTGTACATACGCATTAGAATATCACCTGTTGTACAGAACAAACCCGCATTATATTTAGTCCAAAAGGCACAGGAATAGTCCAGAGTTAGCTTACAGAACACGGAGTCAGGACATCTCACAGAGTCAGATGTAAAGAGGAAAAGTATCTGGTCAGTCTTCCAGGAAATTTCAATAATTTTGAAGTTGGAGGCTCTTACACTCACTTGACCAACCCGTTCCTCTAATCTAGCCACCTCATTTCTCAGATGAGAAGCCAAGGTTTATGAAACAAGTTATCTAGGCTCCTCAAGAAGATGTAGCTACAGAAAAATTATACAGTACTTTTCTGGGCTTTAGGCATGTGTTGAAAACATGTGGAAAGGTGGCCATTTGGAAAAATTGCACCTACAATCCTCCTTTCTCTCTCTCTCTCTCATATTTACATATGTACATACATGTACATGTATAAAACATGTAACATTTATGCACAAAATATAGGTATATAATATGTATTTTATATATAATAAATATATATTAAAGATCTATCTATCTATATATTTTTTTCAGGCCCTTTAGAGAGGCAGCATAGCCTAGTGACCTCAGCATATGGCTGTGACCCACCCAGACTGTCTCAGTTTGAATTCTTGGTTCTGTCACTTAGCTCTGTGACCTTGGGCAAGTTACTTAACCTCTCTGTGACTTAATTTCCTTGTCTATAAATGAGGTTAATAACAGTATCCGTTTCATTAGGTTATTTTAAGGATTAAAAAAGTTAATCTTTGTAAATCTCTTAGAATGGTACTTGGTACATTAAAAAGTACTATAATACTTTTAAAATAGAATTTATATAATTTTGAAAAATACCATTTTAATAATGAATGTAGATAACACTGCAAGGGTAGTTTTTAAAAGGTTGGAAGTTGGCTTTTAATATATCTTTTTTAGGGAAAATCGATTGTGTCATAAATGATAGAGGTGTGAGAAGGAATGTGTAGCTAGTGAACCTGCCCACCAGATTGAGTCTGAAGCTTTACATTATGATTCCAGGCGAGGCTCTGGTTTCCAGGGTGCAGAAAAGTATCTGACATTTTTTTCCTCATTTTGGAAAGCTTAAAAAACAACCACCCCAAATTCAAATGCCCAAATCTTCAAAGAATTGTGTGCTTGGAGCATTTTAAATGTACCTGCCCCTTGCAGTCTACTGTTTCAGAGAAATCATGACTTTATTTTTGAAGCTGGCTCTTAATCAGCTTCCTCCCCTTTTCCTGAGTGTCTCCATCTGAGCCAGCCATTGCTGTATTCTGCTTGTCTGTTGGGGCCGCAGGGAGTGGCTGGCAAGAAAGATGAGCAAGGATAGTCTGTCCAGGCCACATGGGACATCTTGACTCCAGGGTCGGCCGTGGGAAAGGTGGGTCCCTGCCCTGCGATAGGCCACTAGGATCCAGCTGAGGACCAGGTCGGGGCAGGTGGGCCCAGCTCTAAGGGGCTGTCACTGGATAGGTCAAAGCAGCTCTAAGAGGGCAGAAGAGGCAGCTCTTGGATCGGAATTAGAGGCCCTATCTGGGGAGAAGCACAGCAGAAGAAATGCCCTAGGGTCTCACCTGAGGAGAGGAGTGGTGGGAGGTCTCCAGGAAGAGAAAAGAGTCCATAAAAGAGGTCCTTGCTGTGAGGGGGCAGGGCAGAGAAGGTGTCTGGGAAGAAGAATGGCTGGTCTTCAGTTGGGTGGGGGGCTCAGATCACCAATAATCAGGGAGATCTGGTGAGGCAGAAGAAGATGCTAGCAGGAAAGTCCCTGAAGGGCCAGAAGCAGGCCCTAAATTCCCCACAGGCAGCTCTTCACATGCTACCTGGAGGCCACCATTGGGAGGCTTTGAAAGAAGATACCGGGTTACCTATACAAGCACTCGCCAAGCCAGGTGACCCATTGAGAGAAGCTGCTAATTGTAACAGAGGCAAAATGTTATCTGTACTAAGTTTAAAAGAGTTTTCCAGGGGGAAATGAGGACAGGCCAATGCAGCCAAAAAGAGCTGGGTGTTGGTTTTGCAGAAAGCTAAGTTACACTGACAAAGAGGGTTGCCAGGTGTCCTGTATTGAACCAGACAGCATGGTATTTTAGTTTCTGGTGTATTAAAAGGCAGCAAATACTTGTTTTTTAAAAAATCACTATTATTTCAGATATACTTTTTCTTACATTTTGATTGATTTTTAATCAGCAGAGGTTTGTAATTTCAGCTTTTATTTACTCCTTCTGCTAACTATTAAATGGACAAGCACTACTTAAAGGAGCCTTATGATCCTTTTGAAATGTGAGGAATTCTTTTAGGTATCTGTGTGCAAGTAAACCGTTCCAAGACTAATGTTAAGTATTCTGTTAAATAAAGTAAATGTCTGTCCCTTAGGAGGGGAGGGTACACTCTACAAAACAATTTTTTCCCTCAGTCTCTGTGGTGTGGATATTTTTGTAATCCTAGGAAATAGTTATCTTTAGGGCAATAAGAAGAGCTAACATTTATTGAGTGTTTAGCATGTGCCTGACACTGTGAGCAACGGTTGTCCTCTACCCTCTTTCTCACAACAATCCCGAGAGAGATGCTCTAATTATCCTCATTTTACAGAAGAGGAAACAGGCTCAGAAAGATTAAGTATTGAGGCCAAAAACCTAGATGTTATTCTCTTTTTTTTGTTTATTATTATTATTATTATTATTATTTTTTTTTTTGCGGTACGCGGGCCTCTCACTGTTGGGGCCTCTCCCGTTGCGAAGCACAGGCTCCGGACGCGCAGGCTCAGCGGCCATGGCTCACGGGCCCAGCCGCTCCGTGGCACGTGGGATCTTCCCGGACCGGGGCACGAACCCGTGTCCCCTGCATTGGCAGGCGGACTCTCAACCACTGTGCCACCAGGGAAGCCCTGTTTATTATTTTTTAAAATTTATTTTTGGCTGCATTGGGTTTTCATTGCTGCTCGTGGGCTTTCTCTAGCAAGCGGGGGCCACTCTTTGTCATGGTGCGCGGGCTTCTCATCACAGTGGCTTCTCTTTTGGAGTACGGTCTCTAGGCACATGGGTTTCAGTAGCTGTGGCTCGCAGGCTCTAGGATGCAGGCTCAGTAGTTGTGGCTCGCGGGCTCTAGAGCACAGGCTCAGTAGTTGTGGTGCACGGGCTTAGCTGCTCCACGGCATGTGGGATCTTCCCGGACCAGGGCTTGAACCTGTGTCCCCTGCATTGGCAGGCAGATTCCTAAGCACTGTGCCGCCAGGGAAGCCCTAGATGTTATTCTCAGTTCCTCTTTTTTTTCTCAGACGCCTCATTATTAACAAGTTCTGTCAGTTGTAACACCAAAATATATCTAAAAATCTGACCTTTCTTCACCCTAGCTGAAGTCCTCATTATCTTTCTTGATTAGATGTTGCATTAACCTCCGACTGCCCCCGAGGCCACTCTTACCCCCAGTACAATCTTCCATGCACACTACAGCCAGAGTGGTATTTTTAAACTGTAAGTCAGACCACGTACTCTCCAATGACTGTCCTTCACATATAAAATAAAGTGGGGGACTTACAAGGCCTTACATGAGCTGGTTCCTGGTTGCTGTGTGCAGTCTTCATTCATTTAACAAAAAATTATTGACGGCCTACTATGTCCCAGGCACTGTTTTAGATGCTGGGCATACTGTTCCTGTCCAGAGCTTACATTCTAGTGGGAGGAGACAATAATCAAAGAAGTATGTAGGATGATACCCATTATCTTGTAATAAGCTATAAGGGAGCATAATCTACAAAAATACTAAATCACGAGGCTTTACACCTGAAGCTAGCACAATATTGTAACTCAACTATACTTCAATTAAGAAGAAAAGAAATATGTAGGCTATCAGATGGTGGTGAGGGCTATGGACAAAAGTGAAGTGGGAGAGGAGAATAGGAAGTGTGAGTGGCAGTGAGGGGCCACTGGGTGGCTGAGCAGATGACCAGGAAGCCCTCCTGAGAAGATGACAAGGGAGCAGACACTGGAAGAAGAGGAAGGAGTGAGTCAAATGGATTCTGGGGGAACATTCCAGGCAGTGGGGATGGCAAGTGCAAAGGCCCCAAGGAAGAGGTGTGCTCGGCATGTTTGAGTAACGGCAAGGGGGCCGATGTGGCGAGAGCAGAGAGAGTAATGCAGCGGGTAAGCGGAGGGCAGAGAGGCCCTGGGCGTGGTCGGGGAAAGCGCAGACCATGTAGGAACTTGTAGGTCCCTCTCCTGCTCCACTGTAGGCATGGGACTTTGAGTGGGTGGCTTGGCAGCCCCGGGAGGAATATGAGCAGTGCAGTGATGTGACTGGGTAGCAGGGCAGCAGTGGCTGCAGGGAGACTTGTTCAGAGTCAGAGGTGAGAGCGATAAGGGTGGCGTGGGCCAGGATGGTGGCAGTGGGGGAAAAGTGTTCAAATGTTGGTGATGCGCCTGTAAGTGAGAAGCGAGAATTAACCGTTGGATTTACCACGGTGAAAGATTTAGCAACGGAGGCAGTTTCAGTAGAATGGTGGCTAAAGCTGGGCTGCAGAGGGTTCAGAGGAAATGGGGGGAGAGGAAGTGAAGACAGTGAGTGAAAGTGGTTGTGCTGTAAAGAATGTCAGAAAATGGGTGGTGGCTAGAGGTGCAAGTTGGGTCAAGAGAAGCCTTTATTGAAATGGAAGAAATTACAGTGATTTCTTATGATGATGGGACTGATGGAAGAGGAGGAAAGAAACTTGCTAGAGCAGGAGAGGGGGTGAGTTTGTGTACCTTTGGAAGGCCTTCAGCCCCCATGATAGGAGGGGAGGTGGGGATATGGACACAAGCACGGGTGGGTGGGCAGGTATCGGGGTGGGAGCTTGTGGGCCTCCTTTATTGTTTGCTTCTATTTTCTCAGTGAAATAGGAAGCTCATCAGTGAAGAGTAAGGGTTGGGGAGGAAGTGTTGGAAGTTTGAGGAAAGAGAAAATGGTATGAAGCTAAAAGGAGTTGAATGTTTACGCAGGGGAGTGATTATAATAATGGACCTCATATCTAAGCTGGTTAAAGAGGGACGTGAGGGCGTGAGGGAGGATGGAAGCAAGCAAAAGGTAGTGAAACAGTAGACTATAGGATCGAATGGAGTTGGGGAATTTTTGGAGTTGGGATTGGAAGACGGGAGGTGATGGTGAAAAGTGGGAGGCTTCATGTGCCACCATTCTCTCTCCTACACTCTGTGTCAGCTCACTAGCCTTCTTCGGTTCTTCCAACACTTCATGTTTGTTTCTGCCTCAGGGCCTTTGCACTTGCTCTTCCCTTCACATCTTTGCATGATTTGCTCCCTAACTATGCTCAGCTTTCTGCTCTGTCATCACGTCCTCAGGGAGGTTTTCTCTGCTCATCTAGGTAAAAGGCAGTCTCTGTCCCCTGACCCTGTTTCATTTTTCCTTGTGGCATTTCTTGCCACCTGAAGTTATGCTATATTCATTCATATGTTTACATTCTGTGTCTCCCACTAGAATGTAAGTTCCACAAGGGTAGGAACATTGTCTTGTATACCACTGTATCCCTGATACGTAAAAGGCACTCAGTAAATAAATAAATTTAAATGAATAGTGAATACATGAACTTCCCAAGGTCACTCAGCTAATAGGTGATGCAGGTAAGATTCCCACCCAGCACTCTGGCTCTAGAGCTTTTGCTCTTAAACACTCAACAGAGAGAAAGAAGAACTAGAAGGAGAGAGAAGCTGCTGTAGCCCTCTTGGAGCTTTCAATCTCTGAGATTTTAGGAGCTTCCCTATAGATGGAGTTTGAGGGGAAGAAGGAAAATACTCCTCTACTGGAAGCTTTATTGGAAAAGGCAGAAGGTAGAAAAATAATTTCCTGGATAGAAAAACAGAAGGACAAAAACAAACCAGTAACAATGTACAGGTCTGAGATTGGGGTATTGATCGAAGGCCACTTAAGACTTATTTATGATTTCTTTTTCCAAAGAAAATGCATTAAGGCAGTGCTTTTGGAATTAAAATTAAAATTATCCATTTTTTAAAAGAAAGAAAACTGCAGTCAATCTGGTGGTGAAAGCAAAGGGTGAAACTTTAAGTTCATCTTTCCTGGGAGAGCAGCTGGTTTAGAAGATAAAGCTATGCAGATGTAGGGCTTCCCTGGTGGTGTGGTGGTTGGGGGTCCGCCTGCCGATGCCGGGGACACGGGTTTGGGTCCTGGTCTGGGAGGATCCCGCGTGCTGCGGAGCAACTGAGCCCGTGCGCCACAACTACTGAGGTCCGCACTCTGGAGCCCACGAGCCACAACTGCTGGGGAGAGGCCCGCGCACTGCGGTGAGGGGTGGCCCCCGCTTGCCGTGACTGGGGAGGGCCCGTGTGCAGCGGCGGGGACCCAGCGCAGCCAAAATAAATAAATAAAATTGAAAAAAAAAAGCTATGCAGATGTAAAGCAAAGATTTTGAACCATCGCTTTTCTGGGTTACACTTACATCTTTAGTTTCATGAAGGATGACTTGAAGCAGCCACACTTGTGATGCAAAACTTATTCCTCAGTGTTATTTTCCACTTGCAAATTGGTTGGATCTACTTGAGTCAAACTGTGCTTTTGTAGACTTCGTTGCTTCTTTTGGAAGTGTTCTTTCAAATTAGGTTACAGAAACAAGAGCTGAATTATATACACAGCTGCAGAAATAGACTCTACTTTCAAATGTAAGATGAAAAATATGAAAATTGAGAGAGTTCCTTTAGTGTTGAAACTGCCCAATGTTCTTGGTAAAGTTCTGTTTCTTAACGCAGTCAGAAATTGGTGGGTGGGGTGGCCACATGGCCTGAGGAGTCAGGCATGCCCCCTTTGGAGCAGAAGTTGCAGTCACTCAGATGGATGTTTGAATCCAGTTCTGTTCCTCATAGTTGGATGACCTTGGTCAAGTCATTTAACCTGGTTACTTTCCTTACTTGCAAGAATCCATGTGCCCAGAGCTCCCTCATGGGGTGCTGTGAGAATTCATTGAAATGATGTATGCAGTGTCATGGAGTGATTTGCTTGATAACTGGAAGTCATTGTGTAAATTGCTGGCAGACTACTTCTTGCTTTTGTGCACTTGTGTTTTTGTTCTCACTCTGTTCATAGACAGCATGACGATATAATTTAACCTCCACACTGGGACTCTTTTGAGAATGAAAGGGGACACCAAACCAGAGAGAACTCTGGGCTTAAGTCAAGACTCTCCCCCAGGCAAACCAAGATGTTAGGGTCACCCTCCCGAAGACTGAGAAGCCTGTAGGAAGGAGGTGCCTGCCGGAGGGACAGAGAAGAAGGGGAGGAAGTGGGCAAAGACGGGTCTTGTCTGTATTGGCATGCTGGTTAGGAACTAGAAGTCAGTTTGAAACATGTTAAGAACAGAAGAAGCCCTCTTTCCCTTCTCTCCTGCCACCTTATAATTTGGCAACGGACCTTTCCCTATTGTGCCCAGATTGGGCTGGAGATTAAGCCAGCATGTGCCAAGATGGCATCAAATCACAGGGGTAGGCTGGGGACCCCAGCATGGTTATGAGTAGGCCGTTTCTTCTGAGCCAAACTACGGGGATTTATGCTACTGTGTTTATTTCTCTTTGTTACTTGCCAGCACAGTGATACCCAAACCTGCAAGAATTTAAGGATAACTGACATTACTTTAAAATACCCATTCCCAGGCCCCCACCAGAGAACTGAATCCAAATCTCCTGACATTCCGTATATTTAAATGAGTGTCTGGGGCAGTCTCTGTGACCGGCAAGGTTAGGAAACATTGCCCTTGCCTTGAGAAAAGCTGTTTACCAGTGGTCCCCAACTTTTTTGGCAGCAGGGACCAGTTTTATGGAAGACAATTTTTCCACAGACCGGGTGGGGGGAGGGTGGCTTAGGCGGTAACGGGGAGCTGTGGGGAGCGGTGGGGAGCGATGGGGAGAGGCAGATGAAGCCTCGCTCGCTGGCCCGCTGCTCACCCCCTGCTGTGCAGCCTGGTTCCTAACAGGCCACAGACTGGTAGTGGTCCGTGGACCCAGGGTTGGGGACCCTGGGTTAAACTTTCTGGCTTTGACTTGATTGTGCCACGGGATATTAAGAAATGTCTTTTGTCATCTCGCATGTGGGCCTCAAATATGAAAGGAAGAATCAATCCGAGGAGGCTCTGATGGAGCAAAGATGATGAGTGTCCCAAAGTACAGACAAATCTCCAGGACAGGGTGTAGGGTTCTGTGGTCTGTCTGCTTCTGGCCCTGCACTCACTGGGGCCTTTTTCAATGTCAGCTTTGGAGGAGCTGAGCCTTATATTTATTATAAAAGCAGTGATTCCATGTCCTCATACTTTATTTAGTTATTGCTCTTTCTCTTCTTTCCCCATCATGCTTCCGGAAAGAATTGTTCATACCTCCTGTCTCCATTTCCTTAATTCTCATTCACTCCTGACTATAGTGGAATGAAGCCTGGCCTGGGTGATCTGCCCTGTGTGACCCTGAGCAGGTTAATGAATCACTCCAGCCTTAGTTTCTCCACTTGACTTCTACACGAGGTAATGCATTTCACGCCCCCTACCCACCTCTGCCCCGCATAAGGAGATGAACTTTCTCTTCCTGAAAGCATTAGAGACCTAACTGTAAGATTCAATTATTCAGCTATTTTTCAGGGCTCAATTTACTTTTCTCATCAACAGCTAAGACCATACTCAGTTTTTGAAATTCTTATTTTTTTCTTACATTTATGTCATTTTTCCCAGTTTTTGCCTCCTGGTTCTTTTTCCATATACCTTATACTTAGGTGTATTAATGGAATTATGCGGCCATTAGAAAGTATCTCTATAAAGACTGTGGAAAGATGATTACTTGAGCGTCTTAAGTAGAAATAGTGCAATGCAAAATGCTACATGTTAAAAATAGGTAAGGTGCTGTTGGTCTTAAGAAGGCATTATGGCCACATGACCAAAGATAACAGAATCTTACCCTAGACTGTGGCCACACCCACACTCACACCTAAGATCCCTCAGGGATACAAAGGGAACGTAACAAATGAGAATTAAAGTATCATTTGCTATGTGTACTCTGGTAAGCTGGGCCTGAGCACTGCTTTGGGCTTCAGATCTGAAGACTTCCTCTATCTTCCAGGCATAAATAAACTCTTACCTCGGCAGGAGCGCATCAGATATGTATGCCTGGTCCTCTGCCTGAGAGGGAACAGATCCTAGTTTCAGCAGTGAACAAAGAGGCAGCAAAAAAGATAAATTCTCGCTTGAGTGTGCTGGAGCAGGCTCACATGACTTGAGAGCTGATTCTGATAACTCTTCCCAACTCTGCAGTCAGCATTCAGTGAACTCAAGTTGACAGCTTGCAGTCAGCCATGGTGGGAGAATTTACAACATGGAAACTGGTAAACACTGCGAAGTGTGGCTCCCTATCCCCCACCCTTGCCCAAAGCTGCGTGTTAACTGTTGATTAGCACACCACTGGGAGAGGCAGAAAACATGTTACTCCCCTACTCTGAGCTGGCTCTGGTTATGTGCACCACTCTTTCATTGCAGCAAGAGAGGGCAACGTCTAGATTCATTATCTGCAATAATAAAGATGATGATAATGACGATAAACACTTAGTGAGCACGTCTAGATGCTGTGCTTCACTGTACCAAGGGCTTCCCCTGCATAGCCTTAATTTATACTCAAATGACTTTATGAAATAGGGACTGTCATTACCTCTATTTTACATATGAGGAAATTGAAGACCAGAGTAAGTAATTTGTCAGATGTTCCACTGCTGATGAATAGAAGATTCTGGATTCCAGTCCAGGCAAGGCCTCTCTAGAGTCTCAGCTCTGATCTCCATGATAACCCCTTCCTGGGGAAAGTAGGAAGAGAGGTTGGAAAGTGTCATCCCCAACTAGCAGTTGACAGCATGTATTACTATGATAGAAACATTAGATGTTACGGAAAAACCTGAATGATCTTTCTGACCAACCCAATATTTAAAAGATGCATCCTTGTGTATTGTGGTACAACTTTTATATAAGATTTTCAAACTTGCAAAATAATACAACATATTTTCATGGATATTTACATATATGGTAAAAGTGTAAAAACATACATGGAGATAATGTGGGTACCTGGCTATTTTTTATGTTACCACTTTTTTGTATATTTAAACTATTTTGTAATAAAAATTTAATGTATTTCTATATAAGGTAATCCGATTGGTTTTAATGTGAGATTATAGGTAGTTCTACTCATTTATTTTATTTAAAAAATTTTTTTAAAGATGTTTACTTATTTATTTATTTGCCACGCTGCACAGCTTGCGGGATCTTAGTTCCCTGACCAGGGATTGAACCTGTGCCCCCTGCAATGGAAGCACGAAATCCCAACCACTGGACCATCAGGGAATTCCCTCTAATCATTTATTTAAAATTTTTTAATATTGTTGTATTGTCCTTTCTTTTTTTTTTCCTAGGCTGCATGGCGTGGCATGTGGGCTCTTAGTTCCACCAACCAGGGATCGAACCCATGCCCCCTGCATTGGGAGTATGGAGTCTTAACTGCTAGGGACTGCCAGAGAAGTCCCAGTATTGCCCTTTCAATTACAAAAATTTTTTAAAGAGTGAGTGCATGCTAAAACTGGTAAAACCTGAATAGCCTGTAGTCTATTTAGTTGTCAATGTTAATTTCCTAGTTTTGGTACTGTACTATGGTTATATAAGCTGTCATCATTGAGAGGAATGAGTAATGCAATGGACCATTATTATTTTAAATGGATTAATAAATAAAGGTTATTTTATTTATTATTCTCAAAAACTTCAAGAATCTCGGGGCTTCCCTGGTGGCACAGTGGTTGGGAGTCTGCCTGCCAATACAGGGGACACGGGTTCAAGCCCTGGTCCGGGAAGATCCCGCATGCCGCGGAGCAGCTGAGCCCATGTGCCATAACTACGGAGCCTGCGCTCTAGAGCCCGTGTGCCACAACTACTGAAGCCCGTGTGCCTAGAGCCTGTGCTCTGCAACAAGAGAAGCCACCACGGTGAGAAGCCTGTGCCCCGCAATGAAGGGTAGCCCCGCTCGCTGCAACTAGAGAAAGCCCGCGTGCAGCAGCAAAGACCCAATGCAGCCAAAAATTAAATAAATGAATAAATAAATAAATTTTTTAAAAAGTTCAGGAATCTCTGTTTTAATGGAAACTTCCTCTAACCCCCAGGTACTGTTAGATGTTTTATTTTTTATGTTCCATCCCTCTATCATAGCGCTAACCATATTGTAGGTTGTTTATATATAAAGTACTCTATACATTTAAGCGCTATTCTTTTTCTCCAGGAAACTTTGATGGGCCATAAACTTTTTTCCATATTTAAGAATTGAGATATAATTCATATACCATAAAATTCACCTTTTAAAAGTGTATAATTCAGTGGGTTTTAGTACATTCACAAGGTTGTGTGACCATTACCACTATTTAATTCCAGAATTTTTCATCACCGCAAAAAGAAACCTTGTAACCATTAGCAGTCACTTACCATTCTTCCCTCTCCCCAGTCCTGGAAATCACTAGCTAACTTTCTGTTTATATGGTTTTGCTTCTTCTGGACAATTCATCTGAATGGAGTCACACAATATGTGGCCTTTTTGTCAGTTTCCTTTCACTTAGCATGATGTATTCAAGGTTCATCCATGTTGTAGCATGAATCAGTATTTTGTTCCTTTTTTATGGCTGAATAATATTCCATTGTTTGTATATACCACATTCTGCTCATCCATTGATGGACATTTGAGTTGCTTCCTTTTTTTTTTTTTTTTCTATCCTGAATAATGCTGTTATGAACATTCAGGTTAAAGTTATTGCATGAACATATACTTTCAGTTCTCTTGGGTATACATCTAGGTGTAGATTTGCTGGATCATACAGTAACTCTATGTTTAATCTTTACAGGAACGGTCAAGCTTTTTTCCAAAGCATGGGCCAGCAACTTTAAAAGAACTTCTTTTTTATTACTATAAAAGTAATACATTATATAACCATTAGAGAAATGTTCAAAAATTCATTAAAGAATCAGGACAAAATAAAAATCATTCTCACTTTTTACTATTTATGGATAACAACTGTTAATCGTGTGATGGCTTTTTAATATGTGCATATGCATGCACACACATACACACAAATAATCAGTATCATGCTACATATAGTTTTGAAATTTGCTTTTCTTCACATAATAACAGAATTTTTCAAGTTGTTAAATAGCCTTCTAAAACATGATTTTTAAATGGCTACATATTATTATTTTGTTTGAATGTACCAGGATTCATATAACTCATGTCCTTTTGATGGATAATTAGGATATTTCTAATTTTCCCTTGAAAGTTCCATAACAATATCCTTGTTATATAAATTATGTTTTTGATTCTTTTCTTAGGATACATTTCTAGAAGTTGAATTAAGTATATATGTTTTGAGTGTTTTTGATACAGATTACCTAACTGTCCTCCAAAATGTTGTATCCATCTATGTTGGTTTCCAGCAGCAAACAGGATGGCCTGTACCACTCAATGCTGGCCTACTTGTCATTAAAAAAAGGCTGTATAAGTGTTTTGCTTGGTATTTCTTTATCAATGAGAGTGAAATTTTTTTCGCATGCTTATCAGTCATTTGTATTTCTTCTTTTTGTGTCCTGTTTTTCGTGTTCCTGGCTTGTTTTTCTACCTTTTGTTTGATTTGTTATTCATTTGGAAGAGAACATAGTCATATATATTGCATGTATTTGTTCTAACTGAGTTTGTGTTTTTTACAAATTTATCTTTTTTCTTTTTTATACAGTATAAAAGTAATAGACGCTCGATGTAAAAATACAAAAAAATTATAATAATATAAAACATAGATACTGAACATTTCCCATTTCCATCTTCTCACATTGATAACTTGGTGTATATTCCTCCAAATGTTTTTTCCTATCAATATATTATGAATTACATTTCCTTTCAAAATTGGAATCATAGTATATATACTGTTTTTAACTTGATTTTTCACTTATTATATCTTATACATATCTCATTGTTAATACGTACTGCTTTATAACTTCTTTTAATAGTTATATACTACTATCACTATATTGTATTTTTAACATGAAAGGTTTTTTTACATTTTTATTTAGTCATATCATTAAGTCTTTTTTTTTTTTATGGCGTATTGCTTAATTTTTATGCTTAAAAAGAAAGTTCCCGGGCTTCCCTGGTGGCGCAGTGGTTGAGAGTCCTCCTGCCGATGCAGGGGACACGTGTTCGTGCCCCGGTGCGGGAAGATCCCACATGCCACGGAGCGGCTGGGCCCGTGAGCCATGGCCACTCAGACTGCGCGTCCAGAGCCTGTGCTCTGCAATGGGAGAGGCCACAACAGTGAGAGGCCCGCGTACCGCAAACAAACAAACAAACAAACAACAAAAAAAAAGGGCTTCCCTGGTGGCGCAGTGGTTGGGAGTCCGCCTGCCGATGCAGGGGACACGTGTTCGTGCCCCGGTCCGGGAAGATCCCACATGCCACGGAGCGGTTGGGCCCGTGAGCCATGGCCGCTGAGCCTGCGCGTCCGGAGCAAAATTCTCTGATGGACTATTCAAAAAATTATCCTTTTTAAAAAAAATTTTTCTTTCTTTATTTATTTTTGGCTGTGCTGCACGCTTGCAGGATCTCAGTTCCCTGACCGGGGATTGAACCCAGGCCACGGCAGTGAAAGCACTGAATTCTAACCAATAGACCACCAGGGAACTCCCAAGTTATCCTCATTTTTAAGAGACAAGCTCTACTGTAAAAGACTAAAGACTACTGACATATCTGTGTAAGCTATAGGAGGAGTATGGAAAACTTTGCTTTGCAGATAAAGAGGGAAAATATTGTTTTGATAAAATAAAATATATTAGAGTGCCTATTTTAAGTGAATAAAATTCAGAATACATTACCATTTCATCTGGTGTTAACAGGTAATTTTTAGAAGTTTGAAATATACCACTAATCTCTGAAAAAGAGAATTCTTACTTCCCTAAAACATTCATGAAAAAACAATTATTATCACTGGGTTAGGTGCTGGGGCTGCAATGATGAGAAAACACGGATAAACACACTCATACAAACGCACACAATCTCTGACTTTATGGACTTTACAGTCAAGTGGGGAGAGAAACATTATTAAATTATTACACAAATAAATATATAATAACAAACTTTAGCATGTGCAATGGAAGAAGAGCATGGGATGATGGTATGAGATGATCATGAGGGATCTGACCTTGGCCTGGAACTTCTTGGAAAGCTTGACATACCTGGGATGTGTCAGTTGTGCTGTGCTTGGGGGATGAGGATGACGAAGAAGAATCTGGTGGCCGGTGAGGGGGTTCCTTCAGGAGAGAAGGGACTTCGGGAGCAGGAATCCTGAATCTGGAAGGAGCAGGGGCCTCGAGCAACAACACAGCGGCTAACACAAATGCCTGCAGAGAGGGAGGACTGTGGGAGAGGAAGAAGGGGCATGCCTCGCTAAAGTGTATTTAAATTTAAAAATGGTGTAACTATAGGCTAACAGTTTGTGATCCCTGCTTTACAGGGATTGTGAGAGTCATTAAATGTTAGCTGAAGTTCTGACAGTGTCTTGAACCTGAGTGTTCAAAGAATTACAGAACTTAAATGCTGGGTACAACCCAGCAAGAGTCCCTGAAAGAGTTGGAAAAAGAAAAGCCCGGTGTGAGCATGATGTTACTAAACGCCAGGGAAAGAGGGCCTTTTAAGGAGGAGGCAGTGAGAGCTGCTAAGAGATCAAAGCAAATGAGAACTGAAAAAATGTCCATTGAATTTCACAGCACAGAGGTCAATGACCTTCACAAAATGCCTAACCTGTGTTCATATTGTATAACGAGTCTCACACATCTTCTGGATTGTCTGTGTCTTTTGCCTGACTGGGAGGGGTGTGGGCTGCTTTAGATCCAGCGCAAGTTCCCAGACATCCGGCCACATTCTAGCAACAACTAGCACAGTGTTATAAACAACAAGACCATTATAAGTTAAATACATTTTTGACAAGGCATTTATTACCACATGCTTTGATATCAGAGAGACTCAATTGGACTCATGTTAAAAAACAGAAGCATGGATTTCTTGTGCAATGCTGTATAGGTAGGTATCTGATAAATTTAGACCTTCAGAACCAAAGTTCTATGAGATATACTACTGCCTTTACTTAAGATAAAGAAAGTACAGGAATCTACTAGCTATTGAAAACTATAATAGAAAACTGTTGTACCTTTATTTGTAGAAGAAATGTTCTAAAAATGTCTCATAGAGCAGGGTGAGAGTAGTTTTCTAAATTGAAATTATACAATTTATTATTATAACTGACATTTTTCAAGATAAAACTAGAGCACATAATGATTAGTGAACGCTACACAAAGATTCCAAAATAAACAGTTTCTACAAATCAAGTTCTCTTAAACAACTGCAAATATTTATACAACAGTAGTCTTTACCTGAATGAGTCATTTCTTAAGGCCCTCATAAAGTGACTTTCATCAAGAATAAAATTCTACATGTATGGAAATTAAGTTTAGAGAAAAAATTATTAACATAATTGAGTGTAATCATTGTTAAAAATATCAAAACAGAGCACCACATTTCAGAGTATATGTAATGATTTTTAAAGCTCTAGTGAGGCGTACTCTAAAATGTAGTTAATATTTAAGCAACATACTAACTTTAGTCATACAATATAGTTAAGATCATTATATTAAGATAATTTATATAGGATTGAGATATATATATATATATATATATATATATATACACACACACACATAATTTCCTCTCATAGGACTTTAGGAGTATTTGTCATCGTTAATTCTTTCTACATTCATTACATTTTATTTACAAATTGAAAATTTTAGTAAACAATACACTTGAAATTAAATGGTCCAATGGAATTTAACCTAGGCCCATATGTTGTACTTTTATATACATTACTGCATTAAAAAAATCTATAATTTTCAATAACCTCAAAACTATTAAAATAAAGGAAATTTCTTCCCCCTCAAATCTTGGACCCTGTTATCAGATTAGTCTTCCCAAAATTCTGTTTTCATCTTGTTAGTGCCATATACGTAATTATTCAGTGGCTTCCCATTTCCTACAGAATGAAGTTCAACTCTTTATCCTGACATCAAAACATTCCACAATTTGGCCTCAAACTTTTTTTCCAAACTAGGCCATGCTCTTCCCTGACTCAGTATCAGTGAAGCTAATTCCCACCCTGAACTTGTGTTCCTCACCTCCAGTGCTCTTCCTCTTACCTTCAAATCCTATGATCTTTAATTCTGTTTGACTCCCACCTCCCCTGTGAAATCTTCGTGATGCTTCCATGCCTTCCTCTGATCTTGTCTTCACCACACCACTCACATTGACTCTTAAACAGCCACTATTACTGAACTAGTTCATGCTGTTAAGACTTTTCTCTTCAACCAAATGGGAAATTCCTCAGTTAGTGTCATTGGTGCCTAGCACAATCCTGAGTATATAATTATAAGCATATGTTAATATCATCTTAATTACCTCTGACATTTTATTCTTATAACTTATTTTTCCATCTAAACAAACGGCACAACTAAAGGCCAAGTTTACTGTTGCTTAAGAATCTCTCATTCTCTGCCAAAGCTAACTGATATTGCTGTTTGCTCCAT